GCTGAATTATTGGCTCTTTTTTTGGCCTAGATATGGTCTTTTTTCTTTCCTACATTTAGTGTATTGTTTGTACCATATTATTCGTGTGAATAACTCGAATTTCAAAAAACAATAGTATCTAGAAAGTGCAAAAGAAAATGATGGGTAGGCCTGGGATGGTGATGGGGAAAATGGGGGTGGTGGAAAGTGGGTGAAAGGCGTGGAGCGCTTAGAGCGCTGTGTGGCGTTTCTCCGATCGGAGAGACAAACCAGAGGCAAAAAGAAACGAATCACCCCTTCCCCCCCCCCTCCACCTTTTTCTAACACAACCGCAGCCATACAGAGAAAACGATTCAACGCAAACCGTATCGAAGTCACCACTCAATGACACAAACCGATCAAAAACGATTTTGAGACTGAAAAAGAGACAACTCGTGTCAACTGTTGATGTTTTAAGCTAAAAGATAAGTCTCTTGGCTGTAAGAGATTTGTTTTATCTAGATTTAGCATCTAGAGATTGTAGTACCGTAGTGTACAGGTAAATCAGCGGGGTTTTCTGGCTAGAGACCTTTGTCACCATGGTGCAGTCGGCAGCGCGCTTGTCTACAGCCCACACGATCTGGGTTCGACTCCCGGCTGTATCATGACTTGCTTTTTAAAAAAAAATTATATATGAGATACAAAAGTATATAGAATTCTAAGCCTAAGAAAGCAAAAATCAGGGAAATCGGCTTACGGGGAGCCGAGAACTCCAAGAACAAATGGACGGATGGACGGACAGACAGATAGACAGACAGACAGATAGACAGACAGACAGACAGACAGACAGACAGACAGAGACAGACAGACAGACAGACAGACAGATAGACAGACAGATAGATAGATAGACAGACAGACAGACACATAGCCAGACCGACAGACAGACAGACAGATAGACAGACAGACAGACAGACAGATAGATAGACAGACAGACAGACAGATGGATAGACATACAGACAGACAGACAGACAGACAGACAGACAGACAGATAGACAGACAGACAGACAGACAGACAGACAGACAGACAGACAGACAGACAGACAGACAGACGAACGAACGAACAGGCGGACAGACACTTTCCTTTTATATATAGTAAACGCTATAGCTAAAGTGAAAAAGACTAGACATGGCATTTCCCCTCAGAAAACGGGGGATGGGGAATCACAGGCCGACAAAGACCGAGGAACGTAGCGAGCGCACACTCCGCGCACACACAGCATAGAACTCGATTCCACATAGAGAGGGCATGCTAGACACAAAACGATCGATCTTTTCTTCTACAAAAAGCCTTAAACCTTTTTGCAACGCTTAAAAGCTTGTTCAGAGTCTTGAGGCCAGGTTTAAGCGAAATTTTGGTGTCTTAGTTGCTAGAGAGCTTTGGATTGTTTTGTTTTGGTTGGATTGTTTAGGTATTGTCGTTTTTCTTTTGAAGAATTCTAAATCAGACACTTGTTAGAACTGGTATCTTGTTTTCTGTGCCTCTACAAAGGCATTAAAATCTGAAATAAATCCAATCATCATCCAAAATTGAATTTAAATCTTAAATGAATCAAATTGGTTGAAAATTGGCATTATCCCAGAAATTCCAAGCCGAACACCGCCCGGCCTAGCGCCGCATAAATAAGTGTGACGTTCCACGGGGAAAGGCACAAACGATAGAGAATTTGATTGTGATGGATATCGGGTTACTCATAGTCAATCATTGGAATCGTGATGATGGAAAGGACAATGAGTTGTATGTGTTGAAACAAGAAAAGGGGGAGAAGGGCACGGCATTCGCACAGTCATAAACAACGACGGGAGGCTGACTGGAGAGAGTCTAAATATAAAGGGTTCAGGGAAGATAGGGAAGATAGGGAAGATATGGAAAAGGATATTGAACTGTGGAGAAAAACCACCTTTCCTCATCCTCAGCTGCCTATTCTTCCCCAAAATTGGAAGCAACAGATGTCGGCTGTTTTCTTTGGGCGTGCAGTTTTTTAGGTCAACGATGCAAAAATGATTACCGCAATGGACTAAGGAAAAAGATACAGTGAAATATGAGAAAAAAAGAAAAATAAGACTTCCCAGGGTGCACAGATAAAAACCTGACTTTTTAGAGTTGTTTTCAAGCTGTCAAACTGGAGCTGGAAACAATAAAAACGCAATAGCAAGCTAAAGAGATAGTTTGAGTTTAAATTTATAGTCCAATTTCAATAGTTTTTGTACCAATCGACAGCGAAAGATTTGGCGCATCCAATGATACCAAAAATATTCAAATTGGACAACTCAACACCAAGAAATTTGAGCTCAAAGTTAGATTGCCAATGGCAAAGGGGGCGGGGCGCGTCCTACAATCATCGTAGAAGTACAGTGACAATTTATATTAGTGTCAAGAGAGTGGCACAGTAAGAAAAAGTGAACAATTTTTTCAAAGACATCAAAAACGAGATGAAACTCGAGATGAAAAACGGTAAAAAGCAAGATCTAAAAATAGATAACATCAAAAACAACTTCATAAACCCATCTATCGTAAATTTGAGGGTAAATGGAAAGGACAAGTGCAGCAAAAATGTGGAATGGAGGTGGAATGAAGAGCTGAAAAAAAAAGGGGGGGTGGCTCGGGGCAACGGTGGGCCATTCCAAGAGTGGGTGGAGCCCTGAGGGGCAAAGAGGGACCCAGGCTCCCGTTCCACACACACACACAACAGGGCAAATGAGGGGCGATGGCGGCGGCTGGAACGGACCAGGGAAAAAGAAGAAAGGGCGGCTGCCCATGAAACGAGACGAGCACAACACCGAAGAGAGTCGAGACAACAACCAGCTCTCTTTTGAGAAAGGATCCCTTGTGGTCTGGTCGGTGTGCAGCGGGAAAACGTGGGGTGTGTGTCGCGCTGAGAGAGGCAATGCCCCCGTTCTCTTTCGGAAAGCACTCTGGGCGAAAGAAATATTTCTCACTCCTCAGCTGATAGGGGCTTCCGAAGCACTCTCTGCCCCTGGGTCCACTTCGCGGCAAAAAGAGGTGAAGAGGGGGGGGAAAGAAAGTGAAATTTCCCATTCAAATTTGTCTCTCTGTGGTATTTGTCTATTCGGTGGTAAAGGTTCCGTTTTAAGTCGATAATTTCCTTGTTCTAAGGCTGTTTTAGCAAGCAAAAAAAGGCAAATCCTCAAAAAACACAGGGAAACTCAATTGCTTAGTTTTAAAGTCTAGTTAATTGCAAGTCGATAAAGGTTACTTTTAGCTAATTTAGTGGTGCAAAATCTATAGAAGTGCAGAACAAAAAAACTTGCTCATAGCTCAAAGTCGTAAAAAAAACCCAAAAAAGAAACTTGCTTAGAGTTCACAAAGTCGTAAAAAAAACGATGCTAGCTAGCATTTCTAGCAAGTGTGTGAGACGGGTGGTGAAAAGAAGAAAAGACGAGTCTGTCTAGTGTCTGCTGTGTCGGGTCTAGAGCAGTCTCTCGATTGAATGGATGGGCTGTGATGGGAAGGGAAAAGCGGAAGGGGGGCAGGGACACGAAAGAACACAATCTCAACGAAGATTTTTCCTCAAAAGTTGTTGTTGTTGTTTGTTGTTTAAGCTTAAAAGTCGAGTTCAAAAAGGAAAAAAGACTTCAAAAGTGCCTCACCAAACGCTGTCAATGTTATTTTGCACTACCAATCAGCAAGTCTACTTTACTGCACTGAATATATTATTATTGCAGTCAAAAGAACCAAATATAAAGGGTTTAAGGGCTTGTTGAATCATCATTTCCCGTTTACGCTTCACCCTCCAAGGGCGTATCAAGGTATCCCCCTTTTTTCAGCCCTTTCCCTCAACCAAGCACACTTCCCCCACTCTCTCGATGACTGCCTGGGTGATTTTCGCTCTAAAGGACATAAAATTTCCACATACAAGTGGCAAATGGATGTGTCGTAATAAAACCATTTGAACATAAAGCTCTTCCAAAAACAAGGAAACATTTCAGATTCAGTCTAAATGAGCACAAAAAGCAGAACGTTACAAATATTTTTCACAAAACAACACCAGAAAGAAAAAAAAGACTATCAAAATGTGCAAGCCACGAAAAAATGTGTGGTGCGTTGTTGATGGTCGACTCGCAATCGGGGGCGAGCCGACCAGGGGGTGCCGGAAAAGGGGAAAACGGCGACGAAAACAGGGGAAAAGAGGGGGATCGGGCACGGCCACGTAGTCGTCAAGTGACACGCGGGAATGGGCAGAAAAAAAGAAAAGAGGGGGAAAGGGAGGGCATCGTTCTCTCCGTTCCCTTTCCCCACCCTTCCTTGCCCATGTGCATTGTTTGTCTCATGCAATCTCTCCTTGCCGTTCCTGCACTCACCTCCCCAATTCGCCCGTTCTCTCCTCCATTTCCAGTTCGCAGCCTCATCTCTTTTGTGTCGTGTCGAGCCTCTCCTCGCCCATCTGCAAGCCTTGTAGAGGAAAGAGAGTGAACGCACCTCTTTCCCAACGATGGGTGTCTGTGCGGGAAGAAGAGGGGGGTTGTGTTCTCTTTTTGTGGCCAAAGAGGGGCAGCCGTGTGCATATCTCTTCGGCTGAACGCCCCACTTGCCCCGACACACAAGGGCATGTCAACACCAGAAATTGCCTATTGCGTCTCTTCTTGACCGTCAACCATTGTTAGTCTTTTCGAAAGCTGAATACAAATCGACTCGATTGTCACGTAGTAGTATCACGAGTCAAAGCATCAATCAAGTACAACCGAAAGCAAGTCCTAGTTTCATCAAATGCTAGAAATTTTGTTTTCTCGATTTTTCTTTTCTGATGAATTCAACAAAAATCTTTTAATATCGAAGTAGATGCCCTTTCGTGTTAAGCCGCGAATCCCATTCAAAGAATCCAGAGCAACAAAGAAATGTTTCAATGGGGTAAATTCGTTGCCTGCACGTAGCCTTGTTAATTGATTTTCAAATCCAAAATTTATTCGTTCACTTATTAGAAGTGTTAAAAATTAAGAAAATAGAAATAGAATTTCAATAGTCAGAGATGTCCTCCACCACGACATGCCGGGCTTGGTGCGGGTTCTTGCCCTTTCCATTTTGATGTGGGCACTGCGTCGATTCGTAAAGCATGAACGGGGCCTGCAAGCTCTTCGGCCAGACATTCATTGACAAGCCGATGCCTCTAAACGTTACATTCACCATCAAATGGTTGCTTGAATTCCCAGCATCAAACCTGCAAAAATTTCAACCTGTATAACCGATTTGCCCTCGAATTCTTCGCTGACTATTTGAACGTTGAAATGTTTCTCCGCACCTTTTGGTACGTTGTGCATGTAGCTTTCGCAAACCACGGTCAGATGGGAGGGCTGAAAAAAGAACGCTTTTAAAGTAGACTATTAATTAAACCACCAAAAATCTCTGCCGGAGCTTCGTCGTTATCAATGCTTGAATGGGACCATTTGTCGTTACCGTTGCCATCCCTCTAACTGCCGTCAACATGTAACTTAAAATGGCAAAAGTTGCATTGAAAACGATCTTAAACACAATCAACGAAAGATTTGACTAAATTCTAGCCTAGTCATAAGCATAACAGAAAATGTAACAATCTTTATTAACGATAACAAAGATAGGGTGACAATAAGAGTGAAACCGATAAAATTAACGCTTTCTGCGGAGAACTTTCGTGTTTTTGCGGAGCCAATTCTTTGCCTGTGATCCACCACGAGTAGCCGAGAAGCGATGTCCTTTCCCAAGTCCTCGTGATTTGCGTCCAGCCGAAGTGAGTCCTCGCATTTCACGGTGTTTATGCACTGGCTTGGTGATCCATTGAGTATCGGGATTGCGACGGATGGCTTTGTGAGCGGGATCGATGAGAACCACTTCGAAGAATTTGTAAGTCGAGTCTTGTCCGATCCAATAGCTGCTCAACACACGGAGACCACCACACAAACGTCCGACTCGGCACTAAAAAGGAAAAGTTACAAGGTGGATAAGAAATTCCAGCAAGCAAATGAATCACTTTCGCTGAAATTAACGTTTCAACATTAAGATCACTGAAAAATACCTCAGCTACAGCTTGGTGTCCTCGTTGGTTCTTCAGTTCGTTGACCCCATGCGTTTTGGGCTTTCCATAAGTTTGTCCCTTGGTGACTGGACGCTTGCGGCCTCCACGGCGGACACGAACACGGTAGACGACGTAGCCTAAAATAAAAGCATCAGTTACCAGGTAGTAACTAATGATTCACTTGTTTTCAATAAAAAAAACCTAGAATTGTTCCAGCCTAATATCCTGTTCGAGATCATACTACAACAATAAAAGATAACCAAATGTAGCTACACTATTTTTGATACTTTGGTGGTTGGGAGGGGCCACTTTTATTCTGGGTTAGTCGAATCTAGTGTTTTGAGTGGTTGTATCGATACCTTTTATCTATTCCAAGGTAATAAATTTGCTTAATAGATTGGTAATTACTTTAGCAATTCTGGCCTAATCTCATGTACTTTAACCAACAAACGCTATCTCAAAGCTGCTTACACTTGAAAAACAAATAAAAGCGACCATATACAAGCATATCAAGCATGTTGTAAATGCTACAAAAGTATAAGCATTTTTCATTGCCCCAAAATAGGTATCAGAATAAATCAGAATATGAATGTATGAGTAAAACCGCTCAAAACATTAGATCCAACTAAGCCAGAATAAAAGTGGGCCTCTCCCAACCACCAAAGTACTCCATTTTTTCGCAATCGCCGCACAAGCAATCTATCTGTCCCAGCATAACTCAAAAACAATGCAAACCTTGTTTAGCACGATATCCAAGTCGTCGCGCCTTCTCGGGTCTAGTGGGTCTTGGTGCTCGGTGGATGGCTGACATCTGTCTGTATTGCCAGCACCGGATTCGAAGAGAGTAGCGCATCACCTCCGACTGTTTCTTTCGCCACAACTCTTGCATGTATTTGTAGGCACCCATGTTTACCTGAAAATGTGTAAAAATGATTAAGCTTGAAAATATAAAATTGCAAAAAGAAAAGCGACGAATGCAATGATCCTAGGTCAAAAATGTAAAGGGGTGGTGATCCACTCTTCTAAAAAAGACCAATAAACTTCTGTACTCATGAGTGTAACAACAAAACTATCCTTCACTAATCAAACGCCAATTGGCATAAAATAACGCATTGGCGTTAGAAACATTCGGGACGATTGCTCCGCCAGCCAGAAACGAAAATCGCGTCGAACAAACTAGCGCTAACCGCGTACGAGAAATAACGGAATGCATCTTCTACAAAGAAACACAAACGACCGTGTGCTAAGAACTCAATGTTGCATTTAAAAACATGCAGTCTTGTGATTGAACTTAAATTCGATTTTGCGTCATCAAAAAAACAAGGTAAAGTCTCAATGGAGTAATTCAAATCCTTCGGTGGAAATTTCGTTTTACGAAGGTGGCGCAAAGAAACTTGCGCAAAATTCGGCACCACAATTTTGGCTTCTGGTTTTTCGGCGCAATCGCCATGGTCCCAAACATTTTTGAAAGAAACAAATTGGGCGCAGACGTTTCAAATGAAAACTACTTAAACAGCAAATAAAGAATGAAAAGAATGAAGGAAAATCGGAAAGGCAAAATTTTTCCGACAGACTACAATTTCTCGTTTTCCCACGTTTTAGCTGCGCTTTTCAAACCAGACGCAAGGAGGGTATAAAACTAAGTTTTCGAAAGGCAATCGACACTTGAATAAAAACATTAGAAAGCGTAATCAACTCAAGTAAAAAAAATTGTAATTCCTCTCCAAATAGCTTCTTAAACAATTTCTACTGTTTTCTCATCATTCACGCATGTAAACTACGTCTTTAATGTCGACTGAACCTTGGTTTTTGTGATTATTCTTTTTCTTTATTCGATTTTTACGAAATTTTTATTTTTAGATTGCTCACGTTTCGCGATTGATGTCAATATTTATCAGTTTTCATCGGAAACCTGAAAAATGAAGTGAGTTAAATTTGAAAGCGTACATTTTGCAATCTTGTATCTTTAGGATCCTTGTCGATGGCCTCGAAGTGCTTTTCCCCTACGACTACATTTATCCGGAGCAAGTTTTTTACATGCAGGAACTCAAGAAGAGTCTCGATGCGCAGGTTTTTTATTACAATTTAAATTTATCGTTAGTAAGACATACTTTTTTGCTATTGGAATGCTTTAGGGTCATGCCATTCTTGAAATGCCGTCCGGAACTGGGAAAACTATCAGCTTGCTATCGTTGGTGATGGCTTACATGACAAAATACCCACAAAAACTAAACAAATTGGTAAGGGGTGTTTTTGCACATGCGAATAAACACAATTTTAGGTCTACTGCTCTCGAACGATTCCCGAGATTGAGAAATGTGTAGAAGAGCTACGAAACCTCTATGCCTTCTACGAGAAACAAACAAAGGTAAACAAATAATGTTCTCTTTGGAATCAAGAATTTTTAGGAAGCCCCCGATTTGATGGCCGTCGCCATGTCAGCAAGGAAGAATCTCTGCATTAACGAGGAAGTCGCAGCAATGCGTATAGGAAGCAGGGTTGATGGGGCGTGTCAATCTCGAACAGCTAGGTATAAATGTTTTTTAAATTTTTGAGTAAAAGCAAATAGTTTATGTTGCACATTAATCGTTTTAATATGTAGCTGTTAAAATTGTTATTTAGTTACATTCGTGCCAGAAGAGCCGTAGCGCCAGACACGGTACCATCCCCTTGTGCTTATTTTGAAAAAATGCACACACAAGACATGTATCAATTGCCAAATGGTGTCTACAATATTGTAAGCTATAAAGAAAGTTTTAAAATTTTCTTCTTTTAGTCTGATCTCAAAGCGGTCGGTCAAAAAGAGGGAATTTGCCCATATTTTCTCGCGAGATACGCACTTAACAAGGTAGCAAGGGTTTTTAGTTTTGAAGCAGTGCATTTTTAGGCTTCGATTGTTGTTTATTCGTATCACTATATTCTTGATCCAAAGATTGCAGAGCTAGTCTCGAAAGATTTTGCCCGAAAGTCAGTTTGTTTTGCAACTTTAAGAAATGTTCGTGTTTTAGAACTTGTGTCGTATTTGACGAGGCACACAATATCGACAATGTCTGCATTGAATCAATGAGCGTTGCATTGTCGATTCGATCAGTTGAAAGGTAGGATTTTATGAATTCTAAAACTATGCATGACTTTTTTAGAGCGTCCGCCGAGTTAGATCAAATCGATAAACTGGTCACAAAAGCAAAACGAGAAAACGCAGCCCGATTGCAACATGAATACGAAAGATTAGTGGAGGGATTGCGAAAGTAAGTTTTCGCTTTGTAGCTTATTTTTATTGTTAGTTTAGAGCCGAGCAAGAAAGAGCAAATGACGAACGACTCGCAAATCCCGTACTTCCAGACGCAGTGTTAAAAGAGGCAGAGAAACTTTTCAGTAACGTTTATATCCGATTTCAGGCAATCCCTGGTCAAATTCGCGATGCCACTCATTTTGTTTCATTCTTGAAGAGAGTGGTTGAGTATGTTCGTCATCGACTACGTACATCACAAGTGTTAATCGAATCACCGGCCGTCTTCTTGAAAGATATTCAAGATCGCATGTTTCTTGATAGGAAGCCTTTGAGGTTTAGTAGTTTTGAAAATTTGTAAATTTCTTTTTTTAGATTTTGTGCTGAACGTTTTTCGAACCTCGCAAAGACGTTAGAGATTTCCGATTTAGCAGAAGTTTGTAAGTGCCTATTGGAAAAAAGGTTGTTTCAATAATTCATTTAGGGGCACTTTCTCAAGTTACGGTTTTTGCAACACTTGTATCAACATACTCGAAAGGTTTTTCAGTGATCGTCGAGCCAGGAGATCAAGTTTGAAGTTTTGAGTTTAACTTTTATTTATAATACATTTAGAGACAGCTTCCTACTATCACGTTATCTTGTATGGATGCCAGCATAGCCATTCGTCCTGTGCTAGATCGATTCCAAACGGTTATTACTATTTTTTTAAATTCATTACAAAGACTTCTAGGTTGTCATCACATCGGGAACTTTGTCGCCACTTGAAATCTATCCAAAAATGCTTGACTTCGATCCCTGCGTTATGGCATCGTTTACAATGTCTCTAGCGAGGCCATGTATTTCTCCATTGGTTGTGAGTAAAGGGAATGATCAGGTATAAAATTTTATGGATGAAGTGTTTTGAGTTGTTTTAGGTTGCCGTAACATCTAGATTCGAGTCACGTGCTGAACCATCAGTCATTCGCAACTATGGCAATTTGGTCATCGACATGGCAAAAATTGTACCCGATGGAATTGTGAGTTCATTAAGAATCGATTTGCTTTATGTGCCATATTAGGTGGTTTTCTTTACTTCCTATTTATATATGCAAGCCGTTATTTCTCTGTGGTACGATCAGGTTGGTAACTAAGAGTGGCTTTTAAATCTTGAGCTTTAGCAAGTGATTGACGAACTAATGAAACATAAACTTGTGTTCATTGAGACAACGGATGCTAAGTAAGGATTTTATTTTTCTGGATTAATCGAATGCTTTTAGAGAAACTTCGGTCGCTCTGGAGAAATACGTGGAGGCATGCGATTGTGGACGCGGAGCAATACTTTTCTCGGTGGCCCGGTATAACAACTTTTAACCACGAAAAAAGAATATCTATTTTAGAGGAAAAGTTAGTGAGGGAATCGATTTTGCGCATCATCTTGGTAAGCCAGGCTTCAATTTAGCTATTTTACCGTTAATTTAGGCCGCTGTGTGATCATGCTTGGAATTCCCTACATGTACACAGAAAGCAAAATTCTTCGGGCTCGGCTCGAATATCTGCGCGATCAATTTGGAATTAAGTTATTTTTATATAAACATCAGAAAACTTATGCTGAATCTAGGGAAAATGATTTCCTCACTTTCGACGCAATGCGGCACACAGCCCAATGCATGGGTCGGGCTCTTCGTGGAAAAACAGATTATGGACTTATGATATTTGCAGACAAGGTAAACATAATCTAGCTTTTGATTATTTTGTCAATTAAAGAGATTTTCTCGAGCGGATATGAGAAGCAAGCTACCTCGATGGATTCAGGAATATCTTGACACCGCAAATACAAATCTCTCCGTCGATGAAGCCGTCCAACTTGCAAGGTTTCTTTTTACAAATGGTTTCTTGCAACCATGAGCTATTTTAGACGATGGCTGCCACTTATGGCTCAACCATTTCAAAGAAAGGATCAAATCGGCGTATCTCTTCTTACACAGTCAATGGTCACTGCTCAAGTATTAGCGAAGTTTTCAAAAGTAAGTCTGCTTCTTAATTTAGCGCCATTTGCAACGATTTAGGTTGTGGAACGATACGATTAATGGATCTTAAAATTTCAAATCGGGTATCTAGGTTGTTGATTTTTCATTTTTAAAATTGATGTGTTTTCTTTGTTTGGTTTTGTTTTGTTGCAAAAGTTCTCAGTTAGTAAATTTAATCATAAAATGGATTGGAAGTTGCAGTCTACTCTATCAAGCAGCCCATTAGGCGGCTTCGGATGCTACTGTATACGCTTATGGTGATTTGAATCTAATTCAATTTTTAGAATCTGATAGCTTCTAATTCGTTTATTACACACATCCAAAATAATCTCACACAGAAAAACAAATCAAAAAATCATTCAATAGAAAGCACCTTGTTTTATGGCCGAGCTGTTTGAAATAGAATGGCACAAAAAGGAAATTAGGCTGTGCTCTGCAATTGAAGCGTCTCCTAAAAGATGCGCTTAATACCGTATTCCCTAGATTATTGTAGCTTTAACTCATTCCGGGATTACGGTAGCTTCTTCATCGAGCGCAATATTTAGAAACTCTTCAATCGAGAGGAATAGAGTCTAGGCAAGAAAACAAAAAAAAAAGAGATCAAAATATTTTGTGGTATGGCTTGTAAGGAAAGTGGCTTACAATGGCAAAACAGAAAACAATCAAATCAACGAGTAAAGTGGGGAGCAGCTGCATAGGTGCCGGTGTAAGTGGAAGAGATTGGACGGGGTACTTCGGGTTGGGGTCGATTCGGCGGAAGTGATTGTGGCAATGGAGCTGGCTGATAGCCGGCTTTGAATGAGGAGGGAGCTCTGGAAATGCATCGTTTTGTTTTACTACCAGCAACTCGACGACGATAAATCTTTATGTGACGATTTGCAATCTTACACTCACTGTCAGACTTTGGCCAGAGCCAGAGCCAGGGCCAGGGCCAAATTAGTTGAGCTTTGCATAGCTTTTCACCATGACCAAGGTTTCAGAAGAATCAATAAAGTTGCTCAATGCTGGTGTAAAAGCAAATTCTCTTTAAATATTACTCTAATATCTAGGCTGGATCGATTAGTCATTCGCTAAATACTTTCTAGATATCCTAGAATGTATCTTAAATTGAATTTGGAATTTCGCTCACCTATTCGCACGATATTGATTCGAGATGATGATCACTAAGCAGAAAAATCCGGCCACTGCGCCCATGAATGGATCGATCAACAGCTAAAATATCAATATTAAATTGTGTTGTGGCTTCCATTGAGATACGGTAACACTGTAGGAGATACTGTAGCCGATAGGGTACTGTAGCTGAAAGGGTACTGTAGCTGATATAGAGTACTGTAGACAATGTGGGATAGTGTAGGAGATACTGTAGCTGATATAGGGCACTGTAGAGTGCTGTAGCTCATGCAGGGGTCCGTAAGGGATACTGTAGCTGATAGGCTACTGTGTGGTACTACATAGTACTATAGCTAATGTAGAATACTGTAAGGCACTGCAGAATACTGGTCAATGTAGGGATGCTGTAGGAGATCTGTAGCTGATCTAGGATACTGTAGGGCACTGCGGAATACTGTAGCTAAGTAGGGTTACTGGAGAAGATACTGTAGCCACAAGGCGTAAAATCAATAATCAATCAATAATCTTTTACCTTAATAGCTGACACAATATTCCATGATCGAGTCCATGCCATTGCTGGTTGGAGAATGTCGTGAAGGTAAGCAAAGCTGAATTATAACTATAATAGATCTGCAGGATAGCTTTAAGTAGGTTATACGCTGTAGAGGTGCTGTAGAGGTACCGTAGCTACATCTATAGATCAACACTTACACATAGAAGAAAGCGGCCACGAGATAGACACAGCCAAGAAGCCCGAGATGCGACGGATGTGGATGAGTGTTTGGTGATGGAGAGACTGGGCTTGAACCAACCTAGATAATCATTGAAATACAAGAGAATACTTAGGAAAGACTTAGGCAAGATATTATGACTATTTGAATATTTTTTATCACCCACCAGTGAGCAACAACCGGAGAAAAGTGGGACGATGACGACGAAGAACATGATGCACTCGCGGAATACAGGGAACACGCCCTCGAGCACCTAGAAAGAGATTGGATTGAAAGTTGACAATGATTTTCCAGGTTTTTATGTCCTAGATTCTAGATCAGACTAGAGCTAGGACAGGAACCAGATCAAGATCTGTTTTCTGATTGAATCGAATACTTTTGCGGGTAAGGCTAAGGCATCTGTAGAGCAAGAGCGAATCTAGCAGTCAGCAGTAAGTCAGATCAAGTTCAAGACTGACTTCTAGGTAATTTGAATACTTTTGTGGATCAGGTCACAAGTAAACCAGAGGCCCAGATCTGGCTTTTGACTGGCCCAGATACTTTTTGTAGCCCAAGTTGGAGCAGTACTGACGTTAGGGTCAGAGCCAGGGCCAGAGCCAGAGCCAGGGTCAGAGCCAGGGCCAGGGCCAGGGCCAGGGCCAGGGCCAGAGCCAGGGCCAGAGCCAGGGCCAGGGCCAGGGCCAGGGCAAGAGCCAGGGCCAGGGCCAGAGCCAGGGCCAGAGCCAGGGCCAGGGCCAGGGCAAGAGCCAGGGCCAGGGCCAGGGCAAGAGCCAGGGCAAGATCCAACTGTCCTCCGACTGCTCTAGGTCAGGGCCAGGCTTCTTGCTTGACCTGGTTAGCTTGGGAATTCCCTTGTAAAAGTATAACTTGAATGTGTACCAATGAATTTCTACGAAAAAATCGAGTGGTACTATTAGGCTTTCTAGAAAAGGAATGCAAAGACTTTCTGGACGATAATCGGACATTCGGCAATCCAATTTTAAGCTCAAATATCTTGATGTTGAGCTTTCAATTTATACATTCTTGGTATCATTCGATGCGCAAAGTCTTTCTCTATCGATTGGTTGAAAAACTATTTAAATTGGACAACTCAACACGAAGAAATTTGAGCTTAAAGTTGGTTTGCCAATGGCAAAGGGGGCGTATAAAAGGTTATCTGATAAGCCCCGCCCCTTTGCCATTGGCAATCTAACTTTTTGATAGATTATCTATCTAATCTATCTTTCTAGTATTCTTTTTACCCACCTTATTAGCCGATCCAACAAGGCACAGTCCACTCAATGGATCCGCTTGTACACTTTTCGCCATCAACGCCAACATGACCACCGCCAATGGAAGCGTCCAAGTCAAGAGGCACACTTGGCGACGGTATTTGTCCTATATACAGAAATTTCTATTTGTTATGTAGTTTTTAACAACGTACAATACTGGCCGTTTGCAAAGTGTGCTCTTTCCACGCCAAGCACATGATAAACCACCATAAACGGCCGGCCGTTCCTAGAAAAGATTTTTGGAGAATATAGATAATAGATTAGCTTTATAGGCTAGATGATAGATTATCTTTATAGCCTTTTCTTTAAGATGTACCTAAGTAGAAGAGAGCTGCTGCCACAGCTGTACAAGGAATATGTGGCAATGAGGCGACTACGGAGAGCGAGAACCCGGCGTACTCGCGACAGGAGATCTAAATCAATTTAAAATATGAGATTTATAATATTAATTTAAATTTATTAAGTATTCCTCTAAGATTATACCAGATTTAAATTTTAATTTAAACAATAGATCAAATAGGTACTCTTTACTTAAACCTTTAGAAATTATGCGATCATTCGACGCAGAATTTGACGCTGATTCTGAAGCTATATTCCGTTTTTGCTAAATGGCAAGCTGTCATGAGTTATAAGCGTCTAAAGTTTTGTTAGAACAGTTGGAACTGGCGCAGATCAAAAACCTGTGCGCCGCCGGGACTTGAACCTGCGAGCTCTCGCTTACTGGCCAACTGTGCTAACCACTACACCACAAAGGACCTGTTCTCCCCTGCTTCAGAGGGATTTAACAGGACTCTGAATGAAAATGTGGGCATTTGGGGCTTAACGGCCTCTCTTTAGCCTCTTAGCGGCTTCCAAGATTCCGTGCAGGCGTGGCCGAATGGTAGACGGTTCGTTTCCGGAGCGAGACCTCGCGAGTTCGATCCACGCTTTGGGTTTTCCTTTTGCTTTTTGATTTTTTCGTTTGATCGATCTTGTAGAACAAGATCTCAGGGATCTCAATCAAGTCAACAGATCATTTGAAAGCCGTTTTAAATTAGTCTGAGATCAAATCTCAGTCGCTGAGTGCGCGCTAACTTCCAGAGACGTCTCAAGAAATGCATCGCAATTTCTGCTTGCAATTTTGAGCATTTATTATGATTCTTTTTGTTATTTCCTCCTTTTCTATATCTGGATCTTATTTTTATGGTTTAAAGCTCAAATTTTGTTATTTAATTAGTATGCAACGTTGAATCGCCTCTCCGGAAATCGTTCTTTCCCAATTTCTTGATTACTATAATTGCCAAAAACTTGATTTCAGTCAATTCTTGCCATGCAATTTGAGAAAATCCTTGCGTAACTTTAGCCTTGGATCCATATCCTTATCTCACCTGCCTAACATCTCTCCCAGTGACTTTTTTCTTTTTTACTCACAAAGTTTAGTTTCATTAAAATAATGGACACGGTTTATATCCATTTTAATTCCGAGAATTACGATTTTTATCATCAAGATGAAATTAATCATAAAATACTACAATTCTAATATACTAATAGGATTTTTAATAGATAAAGCGAAGCTTGAACCTTTTTGAATTGCAAGATTGAAGTGTTATAAGTGTTAAAAAAAGCTAAAATAGGTTTTTTTTCCACCAAGCTATAACTAAATAGTGTTCTTAATTTAAAAGCACAGTCACAGAACCGAATTTTCTCCTCACCTCTTCCCGGTAAAGCAAACTGAAGACGTAGATGATTGAAGAGAGCATGAAAGAGATCGCACTCCATAATAAACTAAAGAAACATGGCTTAGTTTGAATTTTCGATTTGAAATTTCAAAAATACCTCCTTTCCGGGAAAGTCGGCAAAATGTGCGGCCGGGTCAAGAAAAAGATAATCGATGAGACGGTGAAGAAAACGGATAAACCACAGAGGACCGAGAGGTAGGTTGAGGTGGAGTAGCGATCCGTCTTGAAAAGGATTTTACTCGGTTTTACAGCTATTTACAGCTATTACAGGTTTTACAGGTTTTACAGGTTTGTGGCGACCAATCACAGTCTTGTAAACTCTAAAAATCGATGATTTCGAACCTGATGCAAAGCTCGTTGCCCATTGCATAACGGTACACAAACGCCGGTTCGATTGAAATAGTAGAAATCGTCGGAGCACTTTTGATGTCCGTTCGAGTGCACAAAACCGTTTTGCTCAAAGTGAGTACCCTAAAGTGGTTTTTTTTAAAGGCAAATTTTCTCAGTTATATCAAATAAAACAAATTTCTAACTTTTCAAGCCAACCTGTTCCTCATTTCTCTCGGCTTCCTCAGTTTTCGGTGCCGGAAAAGCGGACTTGGTGCTAGGGCCAGGCATGCACATCATGTCACCATTATTTTCTAAAATTATACGTTAAAGGATAGGGTTTTCTTTTGTATATGTCGTAGCCGATTATGAATTTCAGCCGATTATGAATGACTGGGTCCGGACGCGTCCAACCATCAAGTATTTGGTATCATTCAACGCAGAATCATTAATAATAATATGATAATGGTTCGGCAAACGATCAAAAAGCAAAAAAATTGAGCACTAGCTGGATCCGAACCATGATCGTTTGCCTATAAATCCACGGTGTTACCTTGAGACCACTGATCGAGTGTTTACACTAGGAAGCGCACCTCGCTAGGAAGCGCACCTCGCTAGGAAAGCGCACCTCGCTAGGAAGCGCACCTCGCTAGGAAGCGCACCTCGCTAGGAAGCGCACCTCGCTAGGAAGCGCACCTCGCTAGGAAGCGCACCTCGCTAGGAAGCGCACCTCGCTAGGAAGCGCACCTCGCTAGGAAGCGCACTAAATTCCAATGCAAAACTTTGATGTCAAATATCTGGCGATTGATGCCAAATATTGGAAAAACTAAAAACCGATTCGGATTCCCCGTGTCAAACTCTATCAGGGTACAATTCTATAGGCATAAACTCATAAAAATAAAGTGGTAACCTCTCACTAGTGAGATCACCACCTCTCGGCATCGAGATTTAATGCGAAAAAATTTGTGCCTTGGGCAAATTTGTAAAAATTTGTACCTCGGCATCGTTCAAATACGCAAGAAAGCCTTACAAAGCGATAGCTAAAGCTTTAGAGTTAAATTTCACAGGAATCGCTTTAGCTTTAGAGCTAAATTTCAAAGAAATAGCTTTAGCTTTAAACCAAAATTTGCAAAGCTTACCTTAAACTTTAAACCCAAATTTCTTCCGTTTAAAAGCAATTTAAAAAAAACTAAAACCAGATTCGGAAAGCGCGTGAAAAACTGAGCAAGATAGAATAGGTTTTGAACAAAATAGGGTTTTAAAATTCAAGATAGAATCGCTTTGAAAGAAAATAGACAGTCCAGCTTAAATTCCCGACCTTTCCCTAGTTAGAAAAAGCGAATTTTAGCGAAAGTTATTAAAAAAATATACAAATAATCTCCTCACCTTTCGGCAAATTCGAGCAATTCATGTATTCAGGCCAATCAAAGCCGAAATCGCGCAATAACGGCAAACATTTCTCGCGAACTGTCTTGCAAAGCGGTTGACAAGGTCCAATTGGCTGTGGAATCTGAAATTTAAGACTTAAAGTCTGTTCAAGACAAGGCTAAGACTTAAACTAAAGGCTAAGACTTAAACTAAAGGCTAAGACTTAAACTAAAGGCTAAAACCTAAAATATAAAGTATTAGATAATAAAAAACATCGTACTATATAAGATTTATTATTACTTTAGCTAGAATTTCTCTCAAAATCTCCTCCCACAAACCTTCTCCGTGCACATCGGAAAGTTTAAACTGCATAGATAGAATTTAAGGTCCTCGGCGCAATTGCTCTAAAATATTATAAACTTATATTATAAACTAAGCTCCTAAGCTTTTATTCTATTCATCTAGATATTTATCTAGATATTTACTATTATATATTATTCTAAATCTTTAAAAACCAACCTTGATTAACGCCTCAAAACTCTGCACTCGATCCTTAGCCACTTTGGCGAACTCGTCGCCGAGAAGGTTCGGGAAACTGAAAGGTTGAAGTTTAAATGAAAAATTTTAAGTCATAAAGATCATTTTTAGATGTAAATAGCTATATTTGATAAAAATCGATCCTTAAAAACCTAAAACCTCATTGAAAAGTCTTCTAAACGAAAACCCAACGCTAATTCGATCTCTTGGTGCTTTTCTTGAGAAAAAAGGGTAAAATAAACTCCACCAATAGGTTCTACGACCCTAAAAACCCCAGGGTACAAAGTTTTTAACATTAAATCTCATTTGGGAATCATTTACAGAATAAGAGAAATCTCTGGAAAGACTGGCGAGATGTTCTTTGTGCAGCCGCGTAATCGCTCGCAATCTGACACATGCGCCTGATAGATAGGGGCTCCTTTCTGGACTGGGCAATTGAAAAGAAGGGGTCAGCGAGTGAGCTGGCCTCGCCGTTTTTAGCGTCTACGTCTTCGCTAGATGTCACCGCAGGATCAATCATGAAGGAACCATCTCCCTACAGCTCCCTCCACGTCTCCGCATAGCTCTTTCACATCTCCGCACAGCTCTTTTCTCTAATTACGCCAGCTTAAAGCTCAATTGAAAAACAAACGATTTTAACGAAGCAAATTATCAGGAGACAGATTGTGCTGCTTTGTGCGTCACTATGCTCAAATTTTGATGTCACCGTAGGATCAATTATCTCCACATCTCCGCAGCATCTCCGCAGCATCTCCGCACAGCTCTTTTCACTTTTCAAATCCGTAAAGGAAATTCAACAAATTCCTACAAATTCGACATACTTTCACTACAAATTCGCCATCTTTCTAAACCAAAACTAGCTGATTTACTCAAGAATTTACTCAAGCTTGACCTGTAAAGCTGATTTTATCTTTTAATACTTGATAAATTATTGAAAAACCGATTATTTATTGAGCCTAGTTCTAGCGTAAAATCTAAAGAATACAGGGATCACAAGCGGCTACAGTACTCCTATGCCAGTCTTATAATGTCTCAATATTCATAGCTTTTTTTTGACTTCTGACTATTGTACTTAATATCAGCTACAGTATACCCGAATTGTCTTCTAATTTTCTAATTTATTTCTATTTCAATCAATTTCAATCTAAATTTCCCCTAAATTAGAGTTTTCCGAAAAAGATCGGCTCAATTTCTGTTTTTTCGTCATCTTTCCCCTCGATTTTATCCATTTCATGAAACACAGCTGTGTGATTGAAAAAAATCCCTTAAACCCTTGAAAATCAAGGAAACAGTCCAATAAAAAGAAACAGTCGAAAAAGAAACAGTCGAAAAAGAAACATTTCAGAAAACTGAATCTCAGATTTTTTTAGATTTCAATTTTTCAACAATCTGGACTACAATTTGGCCTTGTGACTGTGAAAACGGATGCTTGATGAATCGTGGACTCGGCGTAATTGACTTTAAACACTTACTGTAGCTCTTGAATAGATACAGTACCCTTACCGTACTCTAAATCAGCTATGGTACGCAGGGTACGCCTACAATAGTACGCCTACAATAGTACGCCTACAATAGTACGCCTACAATAGTACGCCTACAATAGTACGCCTACAATAGTACGCCTACAATAAAGCAGCTATAGTACAGTCGCTACAGTACCTATAGCCTTACTGTAGCTTTCTACTTCCCTACCTTACCCCATAGCAGCTATAGTTCCCTACCTACAGTACCCTACAGTACGCTACCTACAGTACCCTACAGCACCCTACTTACAGTACCCTACCCACAGTACCCTACTTACAGTAACTACAGTACCCCTACATTCCTTATCGTACTCTAAAAGAAGTTTGATACTTTGTGCCGTTAGAAAGAAAGGCAGAAACGTTCTAAGATCTGTAAGCCAGTCCCGCCAGACCAGAGCCAGACCTGCCTTCTGGCTGATCTGACTTTTTTCGGCCAGATTTGTAGCAACAAAACCCCAGTCAAGCTCCTGAAGCAAAGCCAGGACCTGACATTTGCCTTGATCCAGAAAACTAGTGCTAGTGCCTAACTAGTGCCTAGCCCAGCCTAGCATGTCCAACTATCAGCCTAGTTCATAAAATTCTATTAGATTCAACTCTGGACCTGACCTAGCTTCGGTTTTTAGCAAAAAGCAAAGCCAGAGATTGGAATTGAACCCGAGGATTTGCGCTAAGAATAGCGCTAATTGTAGCGCTAAGAATTGTAGCGCTAAGAATTGTAGCGCTAAGAATTCGCTACGCAAGGACACTAATTCATTTGATCAGGCCATTTGATCAGACCATTTGATCAGATTTTACCAAACGATTTTACCAAAAGATCTTTTGGCCTTAATTTTTTGCCTCTTTGGCCCTTTTGGCCTCAAAAACCTAAATTTTAAACCCGTTTTTCTCAAGAATGGGATCTTCTTTGCAAATACTAAATATTTTATTAGATTTTTAGGGTTATAAAGCTATCTTTAAGCTTAGAATATAGCTTAGAATATAGCTTAGAATATAGATTTTACATTTACATGCTTTTGTTTTCCCCTTTTCCCTCTAATTATTCGGTAGTGAGTCCAAGATGGGGCTCGGTCCTAAGCCGAGTTGTTCCCTTTGCTCAGAAGAAAGCCACGATCTGTCGGCCATATATTCTCAACCCAAAAAGAAGAAAGGCTAAGAAAAAGAGAAGGGCTGTGTGTCCCCTGTCATGGGTATCTCTCTTGGCCCTCTTTTTGCCTATTTTCCCCCTTTCTTTACCCCTTTCTTTACCCTTTCTTCCCCTTCTTTTACCCCCACCGAAACCCTGCTCACCCCATGAAATACGGCCCCCACTTCGAAGCCGCACAATCGCAACTGAACACCAAACCCCTCCTCATTACCAATGATCGATTTAATTGAATTGAGGGTAAACAAGTTGAGGTTTAAAACCAAGAATCTAGCCTTAAAGAGAGTCGAGATCTAAAGAGAATCTTAAAGTGAGTCAGCATCAAGAGACAAGATCAAGAGTCAACACAAGAATCAACATCAAGAGTCAAGATGCATCAAGAATCTAATCTAGGCTAGGCTAGGCTAGGCTAGGCTAGAGCTAGATCAAGCCAGACTCAAGATCAAGCCAGGCTATCATCAGATCCAAGCCAGTATCAGATCCAGATTAAACTAGAATCAAGTTAGATTGTAGTCAGAGCTGCCAGGTGTAGTCAAAGCTGCCAGGTTAAAATCAGAGCTGCCAGGTTATGCCAGGCTAGTGCCAATTCAAGTCAATTCCAAAGCCAAGAGCCAAAAGAATCGTTTCAGCTGATCTCAATGATCTCAGCACTTTATCAGACTGCCACAAGGCGCTTCCAATGGCTTCTGTGGTCTAGTGGATAGTGTGCTAGTCTACGGAACTTGTTCGCTTTCTGACTTGGCTTGAGTTCAAATCACGCTAACCAATTTTCTTGCTTTTTTGACGTATTTGCATTAAATATTGATGTCTTATGCATCATTTTACAGCTTCTAAAGATTTTCTTTGAATCTGGCCAGTCTACAGTCAAGTTAGCTTTGATTTTAGATCAGTTTAGTGCTAGAAATGATCCTGATTGGCTTGGCTTGGCTTGGCTTGGACTAATTCAAAGTCTAGCCTAAGAGCAATATGTCTAAATGACTGGGCGATATGCCCACTTGGAGCTATATGTCTAAATAATGTTTTAAGACTTTCAATGGCATTGTAAGGTTGGTTTAGATTGGTAGAACTGATAGCTTCTCGGTAGAACTGACCTTACAACTGACCTTACTGGCTTCTCGGTAGAACTGACCTTATGGCTTATAACCTTACATAGTACGGTGCTGAACAGTACATAGTACGGTGCGTAGTACTGTCCAGTACCTAGCACAGGACAGGATGTACGGGATTTGATCCGTTTAACCTCCAAAACTCTTTAGGCGCCTGTCCGATCCCGACGAGCTTCCAGAACCCGATGTACAATCCGGTAAGGCCGGAAAAGCTTAAAGTCTTACTGTAGAGCCAAAGCCTAAGCCTAAGCTATGCCTAAATTAAGTCAAGTCTCAGCTAAGCCAAGCTAAGTCTCAGCCAAGCCAAGCCAATCCAATCCAATCCAAGCCAAGCCAAGCCCAGCCAATCCAATCCAAGCCAATCCAATCCAAGCCAAGCCACAATTTTCTAAACTTTTACGTCTTGTACGATTTTATATAAATGATCCATTGTTTTAGATAGTTGAAAGTGGAAAAGAGAAGTTGATGAAGGGGAAAAGAGACCTCGAAAAAGGCTCGTAAATCAGGTGAATGTGTGGCGCGTCTCATTTTAGGGAAAAAGGTGAAGTGGGGGAAAGGGGAAAAGATGTAAAAGAGATACACAAAGACATACACAGCCTTTTCTCTTTTTCTTTTACTTTTTCCTTTTACCCATATCCCATTCAAACGATCGTTATGAGGCGTCGAATGGGCTCGTCAGCTCACAGGCCACACCCAGCCTATTGACACTTGACAGTACATTAAATTAGAATAACGAGCATCTCATTAGCTTGTACTATGTTGCAAATGTACTGTTGCAAATGTACTGTTGCAAATGGACTGTTAGAAATGTACTGTTGCAAATGTACAGAGCTGACCTTACTTTGCTTGACTTGTTAACCGGATTAGGTCTAGCTCCTGGTAGATCTAGCTTCTGGTCGATCAAGAGAACCAAGATTGCATCAATGTCAAGCTATTTCTACAGCAAAGGCAAGCCTGGATGTAGCTAAAACAACGCCGAATAGAATACGTTCAAAACAACGCCGAATAGAATACGTTCAAAGCAACGCCATCAAATTTCTCACAATCCAAACCGGTTCAAGTTTTATACCAAAAAATCCCTTGCATTCTTAGCTACATGATGTGTGAAACAGTTTCTTTAAAAAGTAACTATTTTATAGAAAAAAGAGCGCTCAAAATGGGTCTCTAAAGATATTTAAGTTAACGAACTGACAAGGGAAGGGCAACTGGCTGAGCCAAATGCTATTCAACCTATACCATTCGACGCAGAATTTGATGCTGATTCCGAATATCTATTCTGTTTTTGTTAAATGACAATCTGTCAAGAGTTATAGGCGTCTAAAGTTTTGTTGTTAGACGCTTATAACTCTTGACAGACGTCAAAAGTTTTGTTTTGTTGAGACTCTGGTCATTTG